ACGAGCCTGGAGCCACGGCTGGGCCAGCAGCATGTGACATGGGTGCCAGTCAAGTAGCACCCATTTGTCATGTCCCAGTTGCATGCGACTGAGGTGGTAATATGCAGCCTTGTTTCTGCACAGCCCGGGCAGGTTCCTGCACCCCTGCAGAGTCCCACTGAATTTAATGGGGGTCCGGGCGGCAACAGAGCTCTGCGCAAGTGTGTGCATCACGGGGCTGCTGCGGACTTTTTGATACATGGGTGCCAGTCAAGTAGCACCCATTTGTCATGTCCCAGTTGCATGCGACTGAGGTGGTAATATGCAGCCTTGTTTCTGCACAGCCCGGGCAGGTTCCTGCACCCCTGCAGAGTCCCACTGAATTTAATGGGGGTCCGGGCGGCAACAGAGCTCTGCGCAAGTGTGTGCATCACGGGGCTGCTGCGGACTTTTTGATACCATTGAGTGTGTCTCTTTCAGTGATGTTTAATACATATCTGCAGTTCTGGAAAAATGCAAATACATAAAATGAGCCAAAATCTATCTGTAAATAGAAGCATAAAACTTGGCATTAATGCAAATCACTCACTACTGAATTAAAGTTTGGGATCTGACTCATTTTAATAAAGATCTAGGGCTTGAAGGCAAATTCTTATCTGTAGAGGAAACAAAATCTCGTTACCTCATTTTCCTCAGTGAAATCCACTCATGTAGTGTAGTTCAGTTAGTGATACCAAAGCATTTGAAGATCATCAGATAACCCTGCTGACCTGAAGAAGGGAGAGTGTGATGAGAAAGCCATAGTTAATGACCTGGGTAGGCTAATTACAACATGCATTTGCTGTTCCTCGCTCTCTCTCTGACCTCCATTATCCTTCCTAAGTGCTGTTTGGCTCTTTAGCAAAGCCTCTTCCTCCCTCTTCACCGTGTCTTGCCCCTTTTTCCTTCTCTTTGGTCATCTTCAAAAGATACTGCCAAGCAGGTGGAAGGAGTCTGTGAGGAGTAAATAAGAAATTTAGACTTAAATGTCAGAAGCAAAGGGTAAGGAGAGAAGTGAAAAAGGATATAGATGTCTATAGGATGAGAAAGTAAAAAATATTGCTGAATCTAGACCCATCCTCAACTGTTGCTCATCACAGGTCTCTCATCTCCACCCTGGTGCCTTGTCCCTGCCAGCTGCTTTCAGAAATGGTTTGTGTGGAGGCTAGAGGGAAGGTTAGTATCTACAGCAAAAAAACGAGAGGGATTCCTGAGGTAGAACAGAGGCTCCATCTATCCCTCTGTCCTAAATCTTAAACTGGAGTGGGAGTGTGTAAGTGAGGAATAGACGTTGTGGCCAAAGGAGGCGGCAGTTGTGTGAACTGAGCATCTCATTCTGAAAAGAGGATGAAGCCAGATGAAACTACATGGTGACAGATGGCCCACATCAGAAACCAGATGGTCCAGTGAGCCCCACCACTCCTGCTATGAAACAGCAAGCGGAGGAGAAGCCCACAGCGTAGTCCAAAATGTTGTTACACTCTTACGTAAGGGCCACTCATGGTTTGTAAATGATGTTACACCTAGAAATCCAGTTTGTGATGGCTGATTCATAAGCCAGCATGGGCTACTTGCAGGAAGGGTGACAGATCTGAGACCCAACTTACTTCTACAAATGCGTCTACATGTGACTCATCAGCTGACATGCCTCAGTGGCTTTCAGGCCAGACTGCCTTACAGGCAGTTAAGGTCTTATCTAATTGATAGTATCCACAGATGATCATTGCAGCTGCTTCAGGGTGTACAATTATGAGTAATTGTCTGCTTGTTTACAAACGTGTGTAGCCTCCCTTATCTCAAACAGCTTTTCTTTCCTGCGGTGATCCACCTCATTGGACCTGAGCGCTGTAATCTAGAAGTTGCTCTAAACCTGCAGCAGGGCAGTGTGGATGCACGCTGGTCCAGGCACCCCTGCTGTGGTTGGTTGCCCTGCCGATTTGTGGCATGTGTAATCCCTATAATATCGATATTAACCTATGTGTTTTGCAACTCTAATTATGTCTGCATTTGTGAAGTCTTGCCTCTTCCTTTCTTGGAAGCAACAAGAGCCATCGAAGACTTGGAAAACTTAAAACATGAACTGAGAATGATGTGAAGGAAAGCAGATTTGTAGCTAAAATGTCCCACTAATCCAAACCCCATCTGTTTGGTACCCTGTCCTGGGAACAGATTTGAAAGTGGTTCTGAAATGCTAATCTAGTACTGAAATTCTGATCTACTGTTAATGCCAAGTTTATTAAGAGATGTTTTGTACATATGTGAATACATGAAAACTTGCTGGGAGGGATTTGTGTGTTTTGTACATGGGGCTTGTATTTTTCAAATTAAAAGCTTAAAGTTCTGTTGATCGTTAGGGCAGCATAGTATCCCAACATATAAGTACAAGCACCTTCCAAAAGCGCGTTAAGCGATGCCACTAACTTGTCAGCAAATTAAATATAAAGACAATACAATCCAGACCAAATAGCTTCGGCTGGCACTTAGTTTAAATGGCGAGATGTTTTCCCTTTCTCATTAAATCTGCCACAATAAGGATAGTGGTTGATAGCTATTAAAAGCACTAAAGCTTGAAAACATTAGTCAGCTTGTTTCTCAGGAAAGGCTGTATTTGAGATGAAACTGGGGTTCGGGATTCCTGTGTCCTGTCTGTTGACCCACTGGAGTGTGTGCCGAGGGCTCCTTTCTCATCTAGGAGCTCTGAGCCCAGTGTGCATCTTCTGTATCTCTCTTCTCGGACACTGAATGCATTTGAAATACGATGCCATTATTTCTGATGCACCCCTATTAAATGTACAAAAATCAAATGTACCTAATTAAAACATTTGTAGGTCTGGTTTAGTAACCGTCGCGCTAGATGGAGGAAACAGGCAGGAGCCAATCAACTGATGGCTTTCAACCATCTGATCCCAGGAGGATTTCCACCCAGTGCCATGCCGACTTTGCCGACGTACCAGCTCTCTGAGCCCTCCTATCAACCCACCTCCATACCGCAAGGTACAGTAGCCAACAGGTACTTGGTTAAAGTAGTGTTATTGGGGGTTTCCTGTGTTGATCCATTGTGGAAACATTTTCTTCTCTACTGTAGAAAAAGGGGTGTTTGCTAATTTGGGGTCTGAGTCAGTGAGGACGTTGCAAGCCTGCTTATTTTAAGCATGTAAGAACTCAGGTTTGTTTTGCTGCAAGAAAGGTCTGGTTACATATGATGAGTGCTAGCTAGAGAAACAGTAGCCTGATGCCCAAGAGAGGTGCAGTGTTTGGTAAAGCGATGGGCACGCTTCCCTGCTCTTCTGCTGCGTTGGCCTCCTCCGCTGAGCTGCCCGGCACGGCGGGGAAGGATACAGCAGTTGCATTCTGTCTTCTTTGTTGCTTTTGATGATGGTGCACTGGTATCTTCTGAGAGTACTCAGAATATTTATCTGATGGTGGGAAAAACCAGCTATTCAGACCATCTTGTTTCACATCACATAGTAGCAAATCTCAATATGGTAAAAATTTATATTAACCTTATCTGAAATTCTGTGAACTTTGACAAATTTGGGGAGGGGGAAAACAGAGCTTCAAATCTAGGCTACGCTAGATTTTACTGTTAAAGAAAAACCTTACAGGTGAGTTTTTGTAAGACAAGTTACTGTGCTCTCCTTGCTCCCTTCTTGAGATTTGGATCCTAACTGTTGGTGGATGTTTTTGCCAGGCCACATTCTAATTAAGGGAATTTTGCAAAACCCAGGGCTTCTTCCATCAATTGTTAGGTTTACTACAAATCATGGCAGAATTTCTGTGCGGTGACCGTAAGGGGAAAGCCTGTTACCAGTCTTCTAAGCAAATA